ACATATTATACATACATAGAGTATATAGTTTTTTTTGTTTTTTGTACTGGGGATTGAACCCAAGGTTATTCAGCCACTGAACCACATGCCCAGTCTGTTTTTATTTTTTATTTTGAGACACAGTCCTGCTAATTGCTTAGGGCCTCACTAAGTTTTTGAGGCTGGCTTTGAACATTCCATCCTCCTGCCTCAGCTTCCTGAGTTGCTGGGATTACAGGTTTGTGCCACATAGACATAGAGGTTTTTGAACATAAGGAGTACAATTACAGTAACTATTTTAATATTTTTAATCTATGTATATCTATTATCTGCATTGTCTCTGGTTTGGTTTTTCAATTGATTGTTTTTTCTTTTTTTTTCTTTATTATGGATTGTAGTTTTCTATTTCTTTGGATAGAAAAAGAACATATGCTCTGGAATTAATGCCTTGGAGCTTCTGGGGGTAGAGATCAGTAATTTATTTTTTTAACTCTATCCTCCAAAGCATCTTTAGAAATATATATTTCTTGCTTCTAACGTCAGTTTACAATAGGGATAAGCTGAAGTTAAACAATAAAATTTATGTTCTGTTGTCATTTTTTCCGCTATCCTCTTCTGACCTCAAGCAAATGTTGAGCAACTCACTAAAGGGATTGTGATCGTTACTTGTTTCAAAAATATGTATTTCTTTGGAAAAGAGTGTTTTCCAAATTTTCCGTTTTCCAAATGGTTGGTTTGCCTTCTCTATGTGGGCATAAGTAACAATATAGTGATTTTTTTTTTTTTACTGTATTGAGCATTTGAATGTAAGAATGAAAGAAAATTTCTGTATCTTTGATTTTTACCTAATAAGGAGAAATATACAATCTTGCTACCTGTATAGTTTTAGAATGTTTATCCTTAAACACAGTTTGTTTTGTGCAGAAAAATTAAACTCTCCTAAGAAAGTTGTTACTTCACCAAGGAAACTTCCTCCATCATCACCAAAAAGTAATGGGCAGAAGCGAGGAATTCCCCCTAAAACTTTGGCAAATTACTTTAAAGTATCTTCCAAGTCCAAAAATAATGAAGAAATAGGAGAACTTCTGGAAAGTAACAAAGGTAAATCCTTAAACTGACAAATAAACTTGGCTTTTAATTTTTATTTTTTTAATTTGTCAATGGACTTTATTTATATGCAGTACAGAGAATCAAACCCAGTGCCTCACACATGCTAGGCAAGTGCTGTACCACTGAGCCACAAACTTGGCATTTTTTAATAATAATGGTCCGGATACATGAAAATATGCAGATATTTCATGAGTTCCTATTGCTGTTATTGAAAGCTGAATTATACTGAAGGTTCTACATATAGAAGTTCTGTTTCAGTTTTTTTTAAATATATATTTATTTTAGTTATAACGGACCTTTATTTTATTTATATATGGTGCTGAGACTCAAACCCAGGGCCTCACACATGCAAGGCAAGTGCTCTACCCTGGAGCCACAACTTCAGTCCCGTTTCAGTTTTGATAAGGATTTCAGATGATGCTTATACTGTGTTTTATTTTACTGGCTATTTACTTGAGGAGCTGTTTCAGGAACCACCTCAAGTTCAAGGGCAATCTATGTAACTTAATATGACCATCTCAAAATTAAGAAAAATAATAATGAAAAGGACTGAGGATGTAGCTTAATGGTAAAACATTTGCCTAGTATGTGTAAGCCAAAAATGTTGATTTTTGCCTAAAATAGCAATATTTTATTTATTCAGGAATTAAAAATTCTTTGGAACAGAAGCAAATTACTCAGACTAAATCTGCAAGTGTACCTAATTCAAACATCAAAGAATTTGGAGCTGAAGAACCCAACAGGAAAAATGCAACATCTCTTATTCTTTTTGAGGAGGTAGGCTTACAGAGGTACAACATTCATGACATCTCAGGGTAAAAATTTCTTTAAAAACATACACACACACACACACACACTCTCTCTCTCTCTCTCTCTCTCTCTCATTCCTCCCATGGTGCTGGGGATTGAACTCAGGGTCTTACACAGGCTAGTTAAGTGCTCTATCACTGAGCTCCATCCCCAGCCAATCTATTTGATTAAAGCAAATGAAACTGTTATCTCTTGAATTTTTTTAGGAAGATAATTAATGCAATTCAATGTTACTAATTATTTAATGATCATAGAAATTATTCTGACCTTCAATCTATCCACTTACAGGTGACTGCATTTTTTTGGTTTTAATGTTTAATATTTGATAATCAAAAAAATTATACTATAAGATATAAGCTTTCATCATGGGCTGACAATACTTTTTTTTAAATTTTTTTTTTTTAAAGAGAGAGAGAGAGAGAGAATTTTTCAATATTTATTTTCAAGTTTTCGGCAGACACAACATCTTTGTTTTTTGTATGTGGTGCTGAGGATCGAACCCGGGWCGCACGCATGTCAGGCGAGCGCGCTACCAGTTGAGCCACATCCCCAGCCCCTGACAATATTTTTTTAAAAATTAATAAATTTTGTCTCTCACAGGCGTATAGTATTTTTACTCTGTATACATAATTGAGATCTAGTAAGTATTTTGTTACTTGTTAATATTCTAATAAATGGTTTGTAGGTTGATGTCATTTTTGATGAAGATGCTGGTTTTTTGAATGCAATCAAAACATTCATGGCAACAACGAAACGACCTGTAATCCTTACTACAAGTGGTATGTAACAATGATTTTGGTACAAAAAATTACTTTTGGTTAAAATGTTTAGGAAAGCCTCTAATTTTGTTCCTTTAAAAATGAGTTGACTGGTCCACACAGTGAGGTGTACCTATAGTCTCAGCTGCTCTGTAGACTGAGGCAAGTGGATATCTTAAGGATTCTTCAAATTTGAAGGAAAAAAAAATTGATTTGCAACCTTCAGTAACTAAAAACTATTGTATTATTTCACAAATATCGATGACTTTTTAAAAATAGGTATTACATTGGATAACCATGTTGAGTATTAGATATTTAGTAAGCTGACCACAGCCTGGAACACAGATTTATGGATTAGCTAGTGTTACAATAGGAAAAAATATCAGATCATTTTCTTTCTTCTTCATTGTATCTGTAATTAGATCAGCAGACCTCATTTTCTAGTCCTTTCTACAGTTACTTAACATTGAATTTAAGCACCTTATGACACTTCCAATATGGATTATTGCACATTTTAGCTAAAGTAAGCTATCATCAACCTAACAGAATCTCCTKTCTCAGGAATTAGCATTGCATAGTTTTCAAAACTCGTACAATTTCCTTTCTTTTAAAAAAATTACAAATATTATATTTTCATTTTTGTCTAATATTTTTCATTGCATTATTCAGGAGACTAGCTCTGCCATAGACTTCTAAGAAAATGTATATGTTTTAGATTTTACCTACAAATTGATGGTCCATTTAACAGTGATTGTGTTCTAAAAATATTTATAAAAATCCTGTTCATCATAAGGTGGTAGTTTAATTAAAAGATCATAATTACTTTAGGTCARGATGGAAAGTTAGTTCCATAAGGATCAGTGATGTGCATGGTATTATTTAGTAGACTCCCCTTACCTGCTGAGGATACTTCCAAGACCCCCAGTGGATACCTGAAATATCAAGTAGCACTGAGCCCTATATAATAAGTTAAATTTATAAGTAAGCACAGTAACAGATTAACAACAAAGAATCAATTAGAATAATTACAACAATATACTGTAAAAAATTAATCTTTGGACTTTGGGACCATTATTAAGTAAAATAAGAGTTATTTGAGTGCAAGTGCTGTGATAGCCACAAAAATCAATTTGATAACCAAGAACTAAATGAATGTCAGGAGGGAAGCATATACAGCATGGGTATACCTAATGAAGTGATGATTCATCTCAAGCAGGATAGCTTGAGATTTCATCACATTACTCATCATGTCATGAAAATTTAAAATTTATGMATTGTTTAGTTTTACAGTTTTCTACTTAATATCTTTGGATCATCGTTGACTCTAAGTAACTGAAACTGCAGAAAGCAAAACCATGGCTAAGGGTAGACTATTGTACTTTCATTATTAATGAAATGTTTAATATTTTGATAGACAAGTATAACTGGGAAAAGTTACTTAATGGTGTTAATGTTTAATTTTTTTTTTTCCCTGTAGATCCAACATTTAGTTTACTGTTTGATGGCTGCTTTGAAGAAATCAATTTCAGTACTCCTTCTCTGGTAAGTTTTGAATTTTGATGATCATAGATTATACACCATAATTATATGAAAAGTGGTTTCTTATTAAACTTAGATATCATAATTTAAAAATGTGTTTGCTAAGGGATATATTACAACTTTTGTTAGTTTTAGGGAACTTCTGGCTTTTTTTTTTTTTYCTTAAAAAAAGATTTCTAAAAAATAATTAAATTTTTTCTGTATTCAAGTRTTCATTTGGGTTACCCCCCAAAAAAATAGTACCTAATTAAGGGAAAACATGAATATAGTTGAAATTTGAACTTTTCTTAGATGTACTGTTCAATGAATGTTAACATATGTAAAAGCCCCCCAAAATCATCACTGAGATCAAAATATAGAACACTTCCATCACCTTCTAAACTTCCTAATGGCCTTCTGGTCAGCATGACCTTTCCCACTAGAAGTAACCGTTATTCCTTTTCTGGTTTTCTTCACTGATGAACATTGCACTTTGTTTATTTTTTCTTTTAACCTTTGGGGAAAAAAAATCTTTAATTTTAAAATGACATACATTGAAATTGACTTCTTTGGGTGTTATGTTCTATGATCTTTAATACCTATATAGATTCATGAAATCATCACTACAATTTGGATACAGAATAATTCTCTCACCCCATAAAACTTCTTCATGTTAATGTCTATTAATTGAGATTAGTTTTGAAATTTCAAATAATAGGAAACAAACATTAAGCACCCTTTCGTATCTAGCTTCTTTCATTCAACACCAGGTTTTTTGGATTCATCCATGCTGTTCTGTTTGTGGAATTGTTGAGTCATATGCAGTAGGTATTTGTTTAATTGTTTTTTAGAGTCTGCCAGATAAACCAGGTGCAATGGTATGTATCTCTAATGCTAGCAACTCAGGAGGCTGAGGCAGAGGATGGCAAGGCCAGCCTGGGCAACTTAGCAAGATCCTGTCTCAAAACAAAAATTAAATAGGGCTTGGGGATATTGCATAATGGTTGAATACCCTGTTTTTAATTCCAGTGCTGCCAAAAAAAAAAAGAATCTGCCAAATAGGTCTGTGCATGAGAATTGCAGTTATCAGTCTTTTTTTAACTTTAGCCACAATGATGTTATTCATCTGTGTTTGTGTTCATGTGGTTTTTGTTAATTACTTTATTGAAAAATAATTTACATAATAGTAAAATTTACTCAGTCTAAGTGTATGGTTCAATGAGTTTGACAAAATGTAGCTATAGGACATGTGCATCAAGATTTGAACGTATTTTAAGTGTGGTGTGGTAGCATACATCAAGTAATTCTAGCTATTTGGGAGGTCCATGTGAATTCTGGGCCAATTTGGACAACACAGTGAGACCATGACTTTAAAAAAAAGGAACAAAAGTCCTTTTGAAATAGGATTTCTGTTAGAGAGTGAATGTAAATGTCAGCACACATTGAAGAGTCAGTCACAAGAATGTACTTGGGAAAATATGTAGGAAAATAGATATCAATATATAAGTTAGGAGATCAGACAAAGTATAAAGTGAGTGATAGGATTAGAAATATTTTCAACAGGGCTGAGGATGTGGCTCAAGCGGTAAGGAGCTCGCCTGGCATGCGCAGGGCGCTGGGTTCGATCCTCAGCACCATATAAAAATAAAGATGTTGTGTCCACCGAAAACTGAAAAATAAATACTAAAAAGAAAAAAAAAATTCTCTCTCTCTCTCTCTCTCTCTAAGAAAAAAGAAAAGAAAAGAAATATTTTCAACAGGGGGGTGGTTGAATATATAATCTTAGGAAGAAACAAATATGTAGTTACCAATAGGATTGAATTTGAAAGCATTAGGCAACATAGACATGGATGTTTTTAGTAATCCATGCTCTCCTTAAATTTAGGCTTTGGTAGAATCTTAAATGTGAGCTTTGCATTTAAAAAAATAATAAAAAAATAAAATAAAAAAAGGAACAAAATGAACATCACCTCAAAGATTCCATTGTGTTTAGACCSTTCCCCTACTCCTAAGCCCTGTTAACTACAGTCTGTTTTTCTGTCACTGTAGTTATGCTTATTATAGAATTTAATGTAAGTGAAATCTTTTTCTTTTTTCTTTTTTTTTTTTTTTTTAACCCGGGATGGAATCCAGGGGCACTTATCCACTGAGCCACATCCTCAGCCATTTTTATATTTTATTTTGAGATAGGGTCTCACTAAGTTACTAAGGCTGGCTTTGAATTTGTGATCCTCCTGTTTGGCCTCTCAAGCCTCTAGGATTACAGGAGTGTCATTGTGCCTGGCTGGAATCTTGTAGTATGTAATAGTTGGTGTTTATTCATCATAAAACTTTTTTTTAATGTTTAGTCATGTAATGTGTCTGTTCTTTTTTTTTTTTTTCTTCTTTTAAATTAGCAGTGTTCTATCATATGGATGTACCTCAGTGTGTTTATCATTTCACCTGTTGATAGACATATGGGTTATTTCTAATGAAGTCATTTTTAAAAAGTTTTTTAATTGTAGATGGACATGACTTTATTTTATTTATTTTTATGTGATGCTGAGGMTCAAACCCAGTGTCTCAACGTGCTAGGCAATTGCTCTACCACTGAGCCACAACCCCAGCCCCCAAATTTGTTTTTTATGGAATTGTTCTAGCTATTGTACGTCTTATTCATTTCTCTCTATTAACTTTAGAAACAGCTTGTCAACTTTATAGTTTATTGTAGGTATTGCATTAAACTTACAGATCAATTTTGGTAAAACTGACATTAAACAATATTGAGTCTTCTGATTCATGAAGGGAGGTGTTAATTTCTATAAGCAAGGTTTTATAATTTTATTTTTTTTTATTTTTATTTTTTTTAAAGAGAGAGTGATAGAGGGAGAGAGAGAGAGAGAGAGAATTTTTTTTTAATATTTATTTTTTAGTTCTCGGCGGACACAACATCGTTGTTTGTATGTGGTGCTGAGGATCGAACCCGGGCCGCACGCATGCCAGACGAGCGCACTACCGCTTGAGCCACATCCCCAGCCCCGGTTTTATAATTTTAATTGTACACACTTTGCACATATTTTGTTAAATTGAGTSCTTGGTGTATCAATTTCTGTTACTATAAGGAAATATCTGAAGCTGTGTAATTTTATAAAGAAAGGAGGTTTAGTTTAGCTCCCAAATATGGAGGTCCAATGGAATAGTGCCAKCTTCTGCTCAGCTCTTGTGAAGGCCTCATTGAAGTTGGCACCACAATGGCCACAGCACCTGAGCTATATCAAATAGCTCCTGCAATGTGGAGAAAAAAATCAACAGAGTGAACAGTAAAGTATAGAGTGGAAATAAATTTATCAAGTATCTAAAAAGGGCTTAAGAGCCAAACCATAAGGAATTCCTATRACTCAATACCAAAATAAACAACCAGGTTTTTAAAATGAGCCAGTGAATAAACATTTCTCCAAAAAATACATATGGTCAACAGGTATATGAAAAGATGTTGATTATCACTAATCATTAGGGAAATGCAGATTAAACCACAATATGATATCATCTCATACCTGTTAGGATGGCCATTAGCCTTTCTACTACTTATTATTCAATCATTTGATGAGGGAAAAACATTAAAACTTGATCTTTGATTATAGATTTATATATATATAAATATATATTAATTTTTTTAGTTGTTGATGGACTTTTATTTATTTATTTATATGTGGTGCTRAGGTTCGAACCCAGTGCCTCACACGTGCTAGGCAAGCGCTCTACCACTGAGCCACAACCCCAGCCCTGGATTTATCTATTTTTCTTTTTAATTCTATCAGGTTTTGCTTCATAGATTTTTTTTTGGGGGGGGCAGGTGTGCTGGGCATCTAACCCATGGGCACTTTACCACTGAGCTACATTACCAGCCCTTTTCATTTTTTTTATTTTGAGACAGGGTCTCACTAAGTTGCTGAGGCTGCCCTCGAAYTTGTGATCTTCCTATCTCAGTCTCCCAAGTCATTGGGATGCTTCATAGATTTTAAAGCTCTACTATTTTATGCATTTATATTTGGGATTGCCATATTCTCTTGATCAGTTGATTTTATCAGTATGAAATATGTCCCATTTTACCACTTAGTTTTCTTTGTTATGAAATCTGATTTTTTCTGATTTTAATAGCATACAATACTATTATGAATATAATTCCTTAYATTTCTTGTATCTTTTTAATATTTAAATATTTTTAATATTTTTAGTTTTCTCATTTAGTTCTATCATCCATTTCAAATTAAATTCTGTGATTGGCATAGGATAGTAGTCAAAATTTCTCTTTTCTCATGGATTTCCACTGGTTCCTACCCTTATTTACTGAATAGAATCTACTTTCCCCCATTTAATTGCTTTGGTATATTAAAAAATAATTTTAGTTCTGTGCACACATGTCAATCTCTTTCAGGATTATTTATTTGGTTGCACCGATGTATTTATCATTATTGCCAACATACTTTTGCTTTCTTTAAGACAGAGTTTCACTCAGTCTGATCTCAGGCTCCTGGACTCAAGAGATCCTCTCACTTCAGCCTCTTCCCTTAGTGCTAGGATTTTAGGTGTTTGCTACCACACCTGTCTTTACCATATTTCTTAATTTTGATGACTTTATAGTTAATGTTGATATCTGATAGTTTGTTCCCGAGTCTGGTCATTCTTCAAGTTGTTTTGGTTTTTCTAAGTTCCTTGTTCTTTCTTTTTTAAGTATTGAGGCTTGAACCCAGGGCCTCAAGCATGTCAAGCACACATGTGACCACTAAACTTACCTCTAACTTGTTTTTTACTTTAAAAAAGACTGCCAGAGCTGGGTCTGGTGGCACATGCCTATAATCCCAGCAGCTCAGGAGGCTGAGGCAGGAGGATAGCAAGTTCCAAGCCAGCCTCAGGATAAACGAGGCACTAAGCAACTCAGTGAGACCCAGTCTCTAAATAAAGTACAAAATAGGGGGTTGGGGCTGTGGCTCAATGGCAGAGCACTTGTCTAGCATGTGTGAGGCACTGGGTTTGAGCCTTAGTGCCACATAAAAATAAAATAAAGGCAATTCTGTCCATCTACTACTACAAACAAAACAAAACTTTTTTTTTTAGTCCAAAACAGTGCTGGGGATGTGGCTCAGTGGTTGAGTGCCCCTGAGTTCAATCCCCAGTACCTCCCACCCAAAAAAAAAAAAAAAGGGATGAGGATATAGCTCAGTGGTTAAGCACCTCTGGGTTTAATCCCTGATACCAAAAAAAGACTTCCAGCATTTTGATGGGAATTATGTTACATTCATAAATCAATTTGAGAGAAAATTGGCATCTCGATATTGAATTTTTCAGTTAATGAACATGGTAGAGTTCACCATTTATTTATCTTTGATTTTTTTTTAAACAGTATTGGTGGTTTTTAGAGGCATAACAAACCTTTCTTTAAACTTATTAGGTATTTCATGTTTCTAATGCTCCTGTAGACTTTATTATTTGGGGGGAAAGGGGGAGGGTCCTAGGGATTGAGTGGATCCAGGGTGCTATACCATGGAGCTACATTCCAGCCTTTTAAGTTTTTCACTTTGAGACAGGGTCTCACTAAATTGCTGGGGCTGGCCTGGAACTTGAAATTCCTCCTCAAGCCTCATGAGTAGCTGGGATTACAGGTGTGTGCCACCATTATTGGCAATTTTACTATCTTTAAAAAAAATCCTTATCTACCTATTCCAATATCTGTATTATCTTGTGTTCAGTTGCTCTTGATTACCATGTCTCTAAAGTATTGGTTATTTTTCCAATTTTCATGTGTCTGTTTAGATTTTCCTCCTGGACTTTGAATGATATTATGGATACCAGGATCCTGATAGTTCCTCTGAACAACTATTTGCCTGCAGTTTATTGCAGCACAAATTTGTGCTTGGTCCCTATAGTTTCAGTTGGGCTGTTTTTAGAGAGGCCAGATTTGAGTCCTCCTGTTGGCTAGAATTTCTGTTTCTTTACTTTCTGGATCCTTTCCTCTCTTTCCAAACACTGAAATCATTCCAGACTTTGTCTTCCGGTTCTTTAAGTCAGTAGCTGGGAGTTGCTCTCTGAATTTTATCCACCCTGCTGCAGCATTCCCTCAAAAATAATTAAAGGGGTAGAGGGGAYTCACCTAGGGCCATTTAATGAATCCCTCTTCAGTTTTCTCTACTTTTGTTCACTGTCTTGTACTTTCAGGTGGCTAATTTATTTGTAGTTAATTATAAGTTTATAGTTATTTACACAGGCCAGGTTTTCCTGGTATTCACTGGGCATAGAATTCCCAATTTATGGTAAACATAAATCCCAGAAGTATGCAAGAGTAAATGTATATTTGTAGAATWAAGGCAAACATTTCAAAGGGATTTTTTTTACTTGCCTTATTTAGTATAGTGAAAATCCAATAATGGTTTATAAAATCTATGAAATTTAAGTACAATTTATTTCTTTTAGTTTTCAAGGTAAAAAAAWTTTTCCATAGGAAACAATGTAAAGAGAATTGTACATATATATATGTCCATATATGCACACACATATATTTTATAAACCATACATACTACTGGAATACTAAATAAAATGAAAGAATTCTTTTTGTCTATTAACTCATAACAAATAAAATGTTTTAGATTTTTCCCCTTTTATTTCTTATTTACGTACATATATATTTTTTCTTTTTCCTTTTTTGAAGTTCCATGGATTGAACCAAGGGATGAAGTACCACTGAGCTAAATCCTTAGCCCTCTTTATTTTTTTTATTTTGAATCAGGTGGCCTTGAATTTGTGATCCTCCTGCCTCAGCCTCCAGAGTAAGCTAGAATTTTAGGTACACACCACACACCTAATACCTACATGCTTTTATGCACTTGTTGATAGTTTCCTAATTGCAGTTTTAAAAAATCATGTGTTTTTCAGTGTTGTTATAGTATTCATAATTTTGATGGCTATGAAATATTCTCTTGAGCTATACCATTACACAATCCTAAGGGTTTTTCAAGATTTGTAAAATGTGTTCAGATTGGAGAACCTTCTATAAAAGTTTCCTGGCTATCCTGGATTATATACAATAAATAGAAATAGTATATGTATATATGCCTTTCATTTGGTATATTGCTTTATATGTTTTAGAGCAATTTCGTTCTTTAAAATATTGTGAACTATAGCAAAATTTCTTTTAGATAATGTTTAGATTTATTATTGCTGTATTTTTTTCTATTAATTGCAACTAACCATGTTTCTCTTTCTCTCCCACTCTGTGCCTGTTTTTAAGCTAAATGTTGCCACCTACCTACAAATGATATGTTTAACTGAAAATTTCAGAACTGATGTAAAAGACTTTGTAACCTTGTTAACTGCAAATGGTTGTGATATCAGAAAAAGTATCCTTTACCTACAATTTTGGATTAGAAGCGGAGGTGGATTTTTAGAAGAAAGGCCATTATCCCATTGTCGTAAGTCCATATGTTATATGTTATAAGAGAAATTTCCATTATGAGACTGTCTGTCTGTCTGTATTATGTATTATGTGGTTGTACTAGAGATTTAACCCAGGGGCACTCTACTACTGAGCTACACTCCCAGCCCTATTTTTACTTTTATTTTGAGGCAAAGTCTTACTGAATTGCCAAGGCTGACCTCAAACTTGTGATCCTTCTGCCTCAGTCTCCAAATTGCTGAGATTATTAGGCATGCACCACCACACCTGGCAGGACCTAATTTTAAAATATATATCAAAATATTTGAAAGACTAAAATTTTTGACCATCTAGTTATCATGCTAATCTTCAAAATACATATACATATCTCAGCTTTGCTCATAAGAAGTTTTATGAACTTTACAAGTAAGTGATTAAGATTATTAAACTGGGGGATGTGGCTCAAGCGGTAGCGTGCTAGCCTGGCATGCGTGCGGCCCGGGTTCGATCCTCAGCACCACATACCAACAAAGATGTTGTGTCCGCCGAGAACTAAAAAATAAATATTAAAAAATATGTGTCTCTCTCTCTCTCTCTCTCTCCTCTCTCACTCTTTCTTTAAAAAAAAAAAAAAAAGTAACTGGTTGTAGCTCAGTGGTAAAGCACTTGCCTAACATATGCAAGGACTTAGATTCCATCTCCAACACTGCAAAGCAAAAAACAACGCCCCCGGGCTGGGGATGTGGCTCAAACCGCCTTGCATGCATGCACCGGGGTTTGATCCTAAGCACCACATACCAACAAAGATGTTGTGTCCGCCGAGAACTAAAAAAAAAAATTCTCTCTCTCTCTCTCTCCCTCCCCCCTCTCACTCTCTCTCTCTAAAAAAAAAAAACAACAACGCCCCCCATTTCCTACCTCCTCAAACATTTGATTGTTTAATTTTCTAAACTGTTATTTATATGTTTATAAACATGTTTGGTATAAAATAAATAGAATTATAATTATTACTTAGCAACTTCCCTTTTTCACTTATTAAAGTCATATTGGGGACGGGGATGTGGCTCAAGCGGTAGCACGCTCCCCTGGCATGCGTGCGGCCYGGGTTCGATCCTCAGCACCACATACAAAGATGTTGTGTCCGCCGATAACTAAAAAATAAATATTAAATATTAAAAGATCTCTCTCTCCCTCTCTCTCTCTCAATCACTTTTTTTTTTTTTAAAGTCATATTGGTGGCTAGGGTTGTGGCTCAGTGGTAGAGCACTTGCCTAGCATGTGTGAAGCATTAAGTTCAATTCTCAACACTGCATATAAATAAAATTTTTTAAAAAGGCATATTGGTGATGTCTGTACATCAGTGTATATAGATACATCTCATTCTTTTTATGTGACTGTATTGTAAATAAGCTTCCTTTTAGGTTATTTAGTAATCTGTAATTCTGTTTCCCAAGAACTTTATTTCAGAAGTGCTTTTGTTTCTTATTGCTTTTCAGTCTTCATTGTGACTTAACTCAAAGCACAGACACTTATTGAATACTTTCTCTGTGCCAGGTGCTGTGTTATCATGAGTAAGCCATGTTTCTTCCCTGAAGAAATTGTTAGTTTGTGCTTCTCATGCCCCATAGACACTGTTATGTAGGTTCAGATTCTGATCTGGGAAATACATATTTAAGTAGAACCAAGATGAAGTTCTATAATATTAATGCCSTATAATTTTTTGCCTCTAATAAGCTCAGAATTTTTACATATTATTTTTTTTAAAGTAGACATACCTCGATGTTTAATTCAATGTAAGCTGATAGCTTTAACTATTTCTCAAAAGGTAAACATAATAAATAGAAAATGGGAAACATCCTGGTATTAAAAACAAATGAGTTGGGGCTGGGGTTGTAGCTCAGCTGTAGAGTGTTTGCCTAGCACCTGTGAGGCACTGGGTTCAGTCCTTAGCACCACATATAAATAAATAAAATAAAGGTATTGTGTCCACTTACAACTAAAAAAAATATTTTAAAAAAATGAGTTAATAATAACAATTGTCTGGGGCTGTGGCTCAAGCGGTAGCGCCCTCGCCTGGCATGCATGCGGCCCGGGTTCAATCCTCAGCACCACATACAAACAAAGATGTTGTGTCTGCCAAAAACTAAAAAAATCAATATTAAAAAATAAATAAACAAAAATAATAACAATTGCCATGCCACTCGACATAAATTGCCATACCCAAGAACTTTTTTTTTTTTGGCAGTACTAGGTATCAAGCACTGGGCAAGCATTATACCACCCCCTTGAGAACTTCAGAAAGCACTGGCCAGGGTTGTGGCTCAGTGGTAGAGTGCTTGCCTAGCATGTTTGAGGTACTAACTTCAATCCTCAGCAACAAATAAAAATAAAATAAACATTGTGTCCACCTGAAACTAAAAAAAAAAAGAAGAAGAACTTTAGAAAGCAGAATCTAAGTATAACACAGTTTCTGTTCTTGAAGATCTTACATTTTTCACTTCTGCTTTTAAAGAAACACAGAGACTGCCCAAGGTGGTAGTGTGTACCTATATTCTTAGTTACTCAAGAAGCCACGACAGGAGGATCTCAAGATTAAGGCCATCCTTGGCACTTCAAATATATATAAATAAAATTATTTCTCTACTACCACTTTTTTTTTTAGTTGTAGATGGACATAATACCTTTATTTTATGTATTTATTTCCATGTGGTGCTAAGGATCACGTAAGCACTCTGCCACTGAGCTATAGCCTCAGCCCCTTCCTCTATTTATTAAAGGTAGCACCCATTAGACCTTTGTATCTAATCATATATAATATTGCTACAAACTTAGCAAAATTTGTACATCATATATATATATATATATATATATGATTTTATATGTATTGTTATGTTTTTGTTTTGTTATTACTGTGCTGGGCACTGAACTAGGGTCCTATATGTGTTTGGCAAGTGCTGTACCACTGAGCTACACCTCCAGCCTCCTAGTTTTTTTTTTTTTTTTTAGATGTTGTTGGACCTTAATTTTATTCATCTGTTTATATGTGGTGCTGAGAATTGAACCCAGTGCCTCACACATGCTAGGCAAGCGTTCTACCACTAAGCCAAATCCCCAGTCCTAGTTAATTTCTTTTAAGTAAATTTTTGGAATTTTATTTTGCGGGGAGGACATTTTGAGAATTAAACACAGGGCTTCACACATGCTAGGCAAGCACTCTGCCTCTAAGCTATATATCCCCAGTTCTAATCACGGAATTTTTTTTTTTAAGAGAACTTATTTATTTATTTATTTATTTATTTATTTATTTGATTTTTGGTTTATTTAATTATTTATTTATTGGTGCCAGGGATTGAATTCAGGGGCACTTGACCACTGAGCCACATCCCCAGCCCTATTTTGTATTTTATTTAGAGACAGGGTCTCACTGAGTTGCGTAGTGCCTCACTTTTGCTGAGGCCAGCTTTGAACTCACGATCCTCCTGTTTCAGCCTCCCCAGTTGCTGGGACAGGCATGCATCACTGTGCCCAGCCTAATCACTGATTTTTAACCTAGCAGTTTTTTGGTAGCATGTACAGTTCTACCCTAATCTTTTTCATAGCTGCATGCTATTCCATAGAAGTACTATAACTTCATTAATCATTCATGGACATTTAAATTATCTTGTTTTTATAGTGATGTGCAGTGAATATCTTTATAAATATATCCTTAAACAAGTCTGAATAATTCTGATAGAGAGAATACTATAAGTTTGTTGTTGGGTCAAAGGCTACATATACTTTGTATTGCCAGATTGCCCTCTAAAGATAGTTTTGTATTTTGGATTTTGTTTGTGGGTTTTTTCTTTTTTCTTTCTTTCTTTCTTTTTTGTACTGGGGTTTGAATTCAGGGGCACTCAACTGCTAAACCATATCCCCATTCCTATTTTGTATTTTATTTAGAGATAGGGTCTCACTGAGTTGCTCAGTGCCTCACTTTTGCTGAGGCTGGCTTGGAAYWTGTGATCCTCGTGTCACAGCCTCCCGAGCCGCTGGAATTACAAGCATGCACCACCTTCTTTTTGTGGGGGTGGTTATTACCAGGGATTGAACTCAGGGGCACTCGACCCCTGAGCCACATCCCCAGCCTATTTGTATTTTATTTAGAGACAGGATCTCACTGAGTTGCTTAGTGCCTCACTGTTGCTAAGGCTGTCTTGGAACTTGCTATCTTCCTGCCTCAACCTCCCAATCCCCTGGGATTATAGGCGTCTGCCACCACGCCCAGCTGTGTATATTGATAGAACTAGATTACCAGTCTTTTTCATTCTCCCCCCACTCTTTTTTTGGTACTGCAGATTTAATCTAGGGGTGCTTAATAACTAAGTCACATCCCCAGTCCTTTTTATTTTTTTATTTTGATACAGGTACTCATTAAATTGCTGAGGCTGGCTTTTGAACTAGTAGTCCTCTAACCTCAGCCTCATGAGTTGCTGGGATTACAGACATTGTGCCACTGTGCCCAGCAATTATCAATCTTTTTAATCTTACCAGTTTAAAAGGTGAAACATGGACAGTATTTAACTTTAAATTTGCATTTCTGTGATCACTAGAGAAATTGCACATCTTTTYCCCCCTTGTAGTCCTAGGTTTTGAACCCAGGGCTTTCTTCATGCTAAGTAGGTCCTCTGCCACTAAGCTACAACTTCAGCAGTTTACATTTTATTTATTGATTGATTAATACTGGGGATTGAACCCAAGGGTGATCCACTACTGAATTACATCCCCAGCCCTTTTTACATTTTGAATCAGGGTCCCAGAGAGTTGCCCAGGCTGTCCTTGAACTTGTGGTCCTCCTGCTTCAGCCTGCCCAAGGATTACAGGGGTGCACCACCAAACCCTCTATTGCATGTCTTTTTGAATTTAATAGGTAATTTTTACCTGATTTTTTTTTACCCATTCAGTCTTTGCACTTTTTCTATTGAGTTGTATTGAAAGCCATCATCACCTTATTTGATGTAGGTATTCTCTTGAAAAATTAAATGCATATATAGAAAACAAAGTGGAATATGGGTCCAAAGGGTGTCAAAGCATCTAATTGTTTGATAAAATTTGTTTTAAATATGTATAGCTTTTTCTTTTATTGTAGGAGGAAATAGCAGGAATGAACAACTAGCTTGCTCTGAAGATGGCCCTGCTTCCAAAAATAACACTAGAAATACCAAAAGCAATCATGTGGACCTTCCCAAATGTGACACTGGCTGTGTTGAGACCTTGTTTGGACTCAAGAACATTTTTTCCCCATCTGAAGACTTATTTTCATTTTTAAAGGTATTTTAATGTCTATTTGGAATGTTAAATTTATATTCCTTGTCATCTGTAAAACAACAATTTCAGAGTAGCTGTCAAAAAACTTTAATTATTGAATTGGTGTATATTACTAAATATTAGAGCATTTAATTTCTCCAAATTAGCAGTCTAAATTTAATTTTTAGACTCATTTCTATTTTCATATATTAAGTGGAGTCTAATAAAATTTTAAGAGGTAAGTGACTAAGTATTTAAAGATAGAAAACACTATATTTATATCTGTAGAAAAACATTCAAACTATGTACTGTTATAACATTTCTGTATTCAAAATTGCTTTTCAGCACAAAATCACTACAAAGGAAGAATGGCATAAACTCATCCAGCTTCTTACAGAATTCCACATGCAGGATGTAGATTTTTTATATAGCAATCTTGAGTTTATTCTACCATTACCAGTTGATATCATTCCAGAATCAAAAACCATTTGTGGCTCATCAATAAATGTGGATGCCAGTGCAGCAAGGAGCATGAAGTGTCTTGCTAGGAAATGTACTGAAGGAGAGCGGCCATTGAATAAGTCACAAAAAAAGAAACATAAGAAAAAGATCGTAACACTAGATGATAGTGATTTATTTGACAATGACTTGGACTTTTCTGAATTTATTAACCTATCACCTGCATCTTCCTCAAATTTAGAAGAAAACAAGACCAGAGACAGCAGTTCAGGGACAAAGAACCTGAACAATAGTTTAGAGTCTAGCATTGAACCTATTCCTCATCCTCCTAAAACACCAGCGGGGAAAAAAAGTTCTGTCCTTGTCTCTCGTTGTTTAAATTCTCTCACTGAGTTTATGGATAACATGTCCTTCTTGGATGCCCTTTTAACTGATATAAAGGAACAGAAGGAACTTGGGAAAAATGACTTTCGTTGGACAGATGGAATGGTTAAAAGTGGACTTTGTGATGAGTTTAGTCTTGAGAGTAATGATGGATGGACTTCTCAAAGCTCTAGAGAACTAAAGGCAACTGCAGAAGCTCTTACCTTTACTAAGTGTTCTTCTACTATTTCAAAAGCATTGGAATCCTCCTTGAATTCTTGCAAGAAATTAGGAAGAGATCCAACCAAGGATCTTACTTTTAGTGTTTCACAAAAGCACAATAATGTATGCTTTAGTCAGTCAGCAACTGATTTAGAGTAAGTCTTCTTTTGCTTTTTATTTTTCAGATAAATGACAAAGGGGAAATAACTAGTTTATTTATTCTTACTAATTTTAAAATGCTGGGCTATTGATCATGTTAAGTCATATTAATAATGTAGCTTCTGGGCTGSGGTTGTGGCTCAGTGGTGGAGCGCTCGCCTAGCTGTGTAAGGCCCTGGGTTCGATCCTCAGCATCACATAAAAATAATAAATAAAATAAAGGTATTGTGTCCAACTACAACTAAAAATTAAATATTTTTTTAAAAATAATAAAGTAGCTTGTAAAGAAAATTACGAAGACCAGAGTGATTTCTAAGGAAGATTAGGGTGGGCTAGATTTGAAAAACCCCTAAGTGACAGGGAAACAAGTTTGCCAGATAGCAGATAGCCATTAAGATTTTTAGTAAGAGCTGGGTGTGGTGGCACATACCTGTAATCTCAGTGGCTGTGGAGGCTGAGGCAAGAGGATTGCCAGTTAAAGCCAGCCTCAGCAATTTAGCAAGGCCCTAAGCAACTCRGTGAGACCCTGTCTCTAAATAAAATATTAAAAAAGGGCTGCAGATGTGGCTCAGTGGGGTTAAGTGCCCCTGAGTTCAATCCCTAGTACCAAAAAAAAAAAAAAAGTAAAAATTGAAAAAAGTATATATATGTATATATTTTTTAGTATGTATGAGAGTAATTAATGACAAGAAATTAATCTAGAAGTATCATCCAGTATAGATCAGAGGCAGAAAAACTGGTTAAGTTTGCAATTGTTATTTTTKGGGGCATTAAAAAATTATGTATTACTTTTAATTATGCAATGTATTACTTTTAATTTCCAGCAGTGCTTGGAAGAGGATATCAGTCATTAAAAGTGTGTTTTCTAGTCGATCTCTTCTGAACCTGGGTAATAGACAAGCTAGTGTAATTGAATACCTGCCAGTTCTCCGCAACATCTGTAGGACTGAGAAGCTAAAAGAACAAGGAAAAAGTAAAAGAAGGTAAAGGCTCTATAAAAAATAACATTTTAGAGAGCTATTTCAAGATTAATAAATATTCTCAAGAGATGAAAATGTTGGGGCTGGGGATGTGGCTCAAGCGGTAGCGCGCTCGCCTGGCATGCGTGCGGCCCGGGTTCGATCCTCAGCACCACATACCAACAAAGATGTTGTGTCCGCCGAGAACTAAAAAATAAATATTAAAAATTCTCTCTCTCCTCTCTTACTCTCTCTTTAAAAAAAAAAAAAAGATGAAAATGTTAACTTATATTTTTCTTTGTAATTTTGACAGGTTTCTGCACTATTTTGAAGGAATTCATCTTGACATTCCAAAAGAGACTGTGAATACTTTGGCAGCTGAATTCCCTTAATATTCTCCATTAATAATGTCTTGTACAGATTATGTGGTCCTTTAGATGCATTTTTGTATTATGTTGATTTTCATGGAAGAGTTTATTTCTCTTAATGTACATTTAAAACAGACTATTTGTATTTTTTTATTGTGCAAATATTTAAAGTGAAAAAGTTGGATTATAAATTGTATATATGATCATAGTTTTTTTCTGCATTTTTGTATAATCTAGTTTTGCTTTGTTGATGTTGTTTTGTATGTGACTGAGCTGTTTATTGGAAGTAGAGTTCACTAAGATATTTCTCAAGATGTTTCAATACAAAACTAATCTGTCATCTTTCCCTTTCCTGTTACCTGTAATCCATCCCTTTACAAGTGTCAGTGTTCTGTCAAGTTGTAAATATGAAGCACCTAAATGGTAATCTTTTTAAAATAAGTTTACACAATACAGAATATAAAATTACATATGTAATACTCAACAATTAACTTCCTAGGAAGAAAATTATGCCTCACTTTCCAAAAACATAAGAACTTCCTGGTGTTTTTATCTAGTATACTCCTTCAGCATATTTTACCATTGAATCATTGAATATTGACAAAGTAAAAACATTCTAAATTATAGTTTTCTTAAATTATTTTTAGGACCCCTACATGGGTGCTATCTTCTATATTTTGCCAACTCAAATCATTTGCTTTGTAAATTTTTCTTACATTTTATATATCTATTTTGGCCAAGCTGGGGTTCTACCATAAGGTTTCTACAGAATAGCTATTTCTATTTAATGTTAAAGTTTGTTTTGYTTTTGCAGTGCTGGGGATGGAACCCAAGACCTTAGGTATGCTAGGCAAGTGGTCTACCACTGAGCTACATCCCCAGCCCGATTGTTTGATAAGGARTCTTGCTATGTTGGCCAGGCTAGCCCAGAATTCATAGGCTTAAGCAATTGTGCTTCAGCTTCCAAACTAGCTGGTATTGTAGGCACATGCTACCATGCCCAGAAAGGTTGATTTGGCGATGGGGAGGGAGTATATATTTTTATTTTAGTGATAAGACTTTAAAATATCCCATCACTTGAGATCATTTTGCAATTGGATAATCAGGTGTGTTTAAAATTGCTGTATCTATATATAAAATGTTTATGTTAATAGTTAGAGATTTTAGCTGATGAATTGTATTTTTAACTCAAGGATCCTCATTTTATAGTTTTTAAAAGCATAGATGCATACCTGTTTACAAATGTATATGAAGATGTTTTTACCTTATTTGTTCAACGTACCTCTTCTTGTATTGATTAGTACCTTGATCTAATTAAAGGTTAAAGACTTTACATAGTATTATGTAGGAGTTCAAGATGTATTCATCTTGGTAAATGTGTATATTTGTGGTGGGTCAGATATAGGCTGTATCCTACAGATTTATTCCTGCATAGGAGAAAATAAGGTGTTCTGAAGCATTTTTTTTAATGGTACGAAGGATTGAACCCAGGGGCACTTAACCACTGAGCCATACCCCAACCTTTTGAGACAAGGTCTCGCTAAGTTGCTGAGGCTGGCCTTGAACTTGTGATCCTCCTGACCCAGGCTTTAAAGGTTTTTGGTTTTGTTTTTGTTTCATTTTTTTTTTTCTTTTAGCTGTAGATGGACACAATACCTTTATTTATCTATTTTATATGGTGCTGAGGATCGAATCCAGCACCCCATGCCTGCTAGGCAAGTGCTCCACCAGTGAGCCACAACCCCAGCCCTCTACAAAGCTTTTAAGTGCACTCACTTATCCATTTTTTTTTTCAACTGAGTTCCTTCATTAGACCACTTACCTGATAATTTTTTTTTTATTAGAAAGTGATAATTCTCAACAATTGATGAACCAAAGTAGAGTAACTCCATAGGAACTACATTTAAATCATCCAAAATAAAGAAATAATGGGAATATTTTCCTCCCCATTAGGGAAATGGTTTATTTATTTATTTATTTAATGGTGGTAGGGATGAAACCCAGGGCCTCATTCGTGATAGGCAAGTGCTCTAGCACTGAGCTACGTCTCCAACCCTTTCTTAAAACTAATAAATTCCTCTAAGATTTAGATTCACTTTTGTGATAAAAGTAATCAAATTTTGATGACTTTTCAATACTTTGCATATTATCCTATGAATGTCTAAAGCTGACGTTTTCACTTATACTTATTTCCAGAAAAATGTCAGAGAAGAATGCCACATTTGTGGCATGAACAACTGTGTACATTGTAAAACTATTTGCTGGTAGAAAACACTGTCAAAGGTGATGATTTGAAAGAAGAGAGACTGATTTTAGTGAGTCATGTTTAGTTTATGTGCCTACATTTCTAAGGGGAGATGTGTAAGTACATAATCACAAACATAAATGTGGAGACTTAAATGTGACTGGCAAGAGTATACATGACTCCAGGCAGCTGGAGGTGCTGATGAGGCAGGACTTCTACTTCTTGCTTTATTTATTTATACACATACTTTTAATTATTTGAAATTTTTTCCCAAGAAGCATATTTCACTTTTTATCCCCCAGTATTAGGGATTAAACCCAAGGGTGCTTTACCACTAAGCTACATCCCCAACCTCTTGTTTTGGGATAGGGTTTCACTAAGTTAGGCCAAATAGGCTGGCCTTGAAGTTGCAGTCTTCCTGCCTTACCCTCTCAGCAGAATTATAATTGCATACCACTGTGCCTGACTGGATTATTACATTTGAGCTGATTAAAACTGCACAGTATGCCAAACCATATTTTTCCTAGAGAATGAGGAGTCTAAAAATTTTGTTGTCAGTTGTCTTAAGCTTTATTCTCATAAGTCACCCATAAGAACTAATTTTTCTCTATTTTTTAACAACATAATAATGCAAATCCTCAATATAGATGGTATCTACTTGATAAAAGCAGAAAACTTTGTTTTTCTTTTAGCTGGGCAGGGCATTTTATTGACGCCGAATCYCAAAAGGCACAGAATCTCAAAATATTTATTGATCTAGTCTTGGCTTATTATTGTGTATACCATTTCATAGCTGAAAGTCAGACATTAAACATCTAAAACATACTCAAAATGTGTTTTATTCTCCATTAGCATGGTTGTTCAGAATAGCTGATTTTATAATTAGAATAAATATGTATAGTACAACAGAGCAGGTACATTCATCTCAGAATTCTAAGACTCGGTGTCAAAAACCGCTAACTCATAGAAAGCAATAGCTTGTAACAATGAATCATATAACTCTTCTCTTCTGTGTGAATCAGGTGGGTCAGCAGATGAAAACATTTGTCGATAGTGTACCACTCTGTCTGGTGGAAAGAACACCCGAGGCTTCGCCTTCAGTACAGATTCAGAGAGGAACTGCTTCACTAGTTCTTTCCCACTAGTCCGAGTGTCGCCAATCATCAGTTTAAAGTGCTTCCCAACTGCATTTCGATTCATGCTCAGCACATGATGCTGGCCATCCTGGGTGAAAGTTTTATTTAATAAGGCATACAGCATGGCTTCTATGATGTGAAAATGTAACAGTACAGGAAACAGAGATGAGTTCTGAATGGAAAGTCCTGTTTTTTCCAGAACATAGAAATCTGCTTTAGGCATTTTTGAAATGACTGAAGAAATCTTTATTAAAAAAAAAAAAAAGACAAAATAAGTAAGCAGAAATAATTCATTTAGTTTCATATTTAGTCCCATTTCTATCTTCAAATATTCTAATTAGGTAACTTACATAATATTACTGTTGACAATTTTGAAATAAGAGAAAAAGCATTTATGGGTAGTCAAGCTCTGGTCATGATTTTTTCAGGAACAGGCTGAGCTAAGAAAATGTTTAGTTCTCAGTACCAGTTTCTTCATCTGTAAAATAGGCTTCATAATTTCTAAAAACCAATAGGAACTTAATTTTAGACAATTTGCTGGGCAGACACCTGTAATACCAGCTATTCAGAAGGAGGAGGATCAAATTCAAGGCTAGCCTGGCAATTTAGACCCTGTCTCAAGATAAAAAATAAAAAGGTGGGGGTACAGCTAGTGGCAGAGCACCCGAGTTTCAATTCCCAGTACCAAAATAAGACAAAGATTACCCAACTCAGAATTTTTATGAACCATTTAAAATTTTCTATGACAGGGACTGGGGTTGTGGCTCAACAGTAGAGCGCTCATCTAGGCCTTGGGTTTGATCCTCAGCACCACATTAAAAAAAATAAAGGTATTACGTCCTACAACCAAAAACATTTTTAAAAATTTTTTCTAGGGCTGGGGATGTGGCTCAAGTGGTAACGCKCTTGCCTGGTATGCACGGAGCACTGGTTTGATCTTTAGCACCACATAAAAATAAAAAATAAAGATGTTGTGTCCACCAAAAACTGAAAAAATAAATATTTAAAAATTATCTCTCTCCTCTCTCTCTCTTNAAAAAAAAAAAAAAAAATTATTACGACAGCCAGGTTTGTAGTGCACACCTGTAATCCCAGTGGCTCAGGAGGCTTAGGCAGGAGGATCACAAGTTCAAAACCAGCCTCTGCATGGGCTGGGGTTATAATGCAGTGGTAGAGTGCTTGCCTAGCACATGTGAGGCAATGGGTTCAATCCTTAACACTACAGAAGAATAAACAAAGGCCCTGTGCCCATCTACAACTAAAAGTATTAAAAACAAAAAACAGGATCCTGTCTCAAAAAATAAAAAGGGCTGGGATGTGGTTCAGTGTTTAAGCACCTCTGGATTCAATCCTCCAGTATCCAAAAAATAATAATAATCTAGGGCAGAGTATAGGATCTTTTTTTKGGGAGGGGGGGGTCAGGGATATCAGGGATTGAACTAAGGAGCACTCGACCACTGAGCCACATCCCCAGCCCTATTTTGTGTTTTATTTAGAGACAGGGTCTCACTGAGTTGCTTAGTGCCTCGATGTTGCTGAGGCTGGCTTTGAACTTGAGATCCTCCTGCTTCAGCCTCCCAAGCTTCTGGGATTACAGGTGTGCCCCAGTGTACCCACCTAGAGCATAGGATTTTAACAACTAACCAAGAATTAATAATCTCTGCAAATGACTGAACAGCAGTTTTCACGTGTATAATCAAGACAGTAATTCCCAACCATTTCAAAAGATTTTGAAGACTTAAATGAAACAAGTGATAGCATTTTGAAAATAAGCTATGAATACAAGATAGTGAAGTTTTTTTATAACATGCAGAATATATAAAGGACACTATATATAGTGTCCTTTATATATTAACTATTGATTTTCTCAATATCTGCCTTTGATACCTAAGACATTTCTTGAACTAATCAAAAGTGACAAAAACAATAGCAGTGGGTAAGTAATAAGTATCACAAAAAATAACCAATATCATTATTTTATTACATTCTTTTTGGGAGCAGAAGATTAAAAACTACAAAGAAGCTATGCAGGCATACACAAGAAGCTACACAATAACAGGAACGTGGAGATGCAGCAGCCTTACCTCTTTTAAATAGAGTGATGATGGGTAGGATCTATTCACTAATTTCCAATAGTCACTTTGCTGCCAGTCCAGCACTGTCAATTTTCGATCAAGGAGAGCCCAGGCAATTCTTTGAGTACCAAAAACAATAGATAAAATACTATTGGCTGCCTAAAAGAAAAGAGCTGATTTAATTATAAGTGTAATAGACTTTTTTTTTTCTTTTTTGCAGTACCAGGGATTGAACCCAGGGACACTCTATCATGTATATATGTACTATATATATATATATATATATATATATATATATATATATATATATTAAATGGGAATAAAGTCCACAGCTTTCATTGGATTTTCAATAAAACTCCAGAACTTTTTATATTATTTTGAGACAAGTTCTCACTAAATTGCTGAGGCAGAAAATAATTTTAAATTTTGCTGGAAAGACTGGTATACTCTTCTAGAATCACTCCTCAGTCATAATACATATTTATATCTTCTCATTATTTCCAACATGACCCTCAAACAGAGCTGGATCCTCAAACTTGGGATCTTCCTATCTCAGCCTCCCAAGTCATTGAGATTACAGGCATATGCCACTATGCCTGGCTCAAGTATAAACTTTTTTTTTTTTTATTGAATGTAAACACTTTAACAGATGCAAAACCTGATTTACAACCTCAGAATGCCAAACTAGTTGATGTAATATAAAATTTATTTAGTAATTAAACTGAGAATTATTAATATGATAGATATTGGGAAACAAGGGAACATAACATTTGATTTTAAGAAATAATAAGATTTACATTTCAGAAAAATCACTGACAGCTGTGTGGGAGATGGACGATAGGGGATTAACAAAAGGTAGGGATTTGTGTAAGGAACTGTTCTTAATAGTATTAAGAACAAAACATAATGACAAGAAGGAAAAGAGTGGGAGAGTCCGTATGGTAGCACATGCCCATAACCCCAGTGGCTCTGGAGGCTCTGACAGGAGGATCTCAAGTTCAAAGCCAGCTCCAGCAAAGGTGAAGCGCTAAGCAACTCAGTGAGACCCTGTCTCTAAATAAAACACAAAATAAGGCTGCGGATGTGGCTCAGTGGTTGAGTGCCCCTGAGTTCAATCCCCAGTACTCGCCCCATCCTGCCAAGGAATAGTGGGAATAGAACTGATACTCAACTGGATGGTACTTTTAAGCAAGAAGGTAAGAGGCAGATCAACTAGGAACATGGTGGGAGATGAGGTTGGTTTTTGTTTTTTTTTTTTCCACAATGCCTTTATTTTTATGTGGTGCTGAGGATTGAACCTGGGTCCCCGCCTGTGCTAGGCAAGCGCTCTACAACTGAGCCACAATCCCAGCCCAGAGATAAGGTTTTTTTATTTTTGTTTCTTTTAATGAGTTTGAGATACCTATAGAGCCTCTAAGATGTATAACAGCTGATTGGCTATACGGATTTAGCTCTGCTGAGTTTAGTTTGGAGATAAAGTACAATGATGTCACCTCACTCCCATAAGACTCATTTACGGAGAGAGACACTACTAATGTGTTCCATAGATACAGGATAAAGAAGAATAGTTTATAATAGTTTATAATGCTACACCCATTTCCCTTTCACTGCTACATAAATCACTGGATAAATATCTGTGGGCAGAATAATTTGGATGCAAAAACATCTACAAAACACAGTCCTCCTTTTGATTCTTTTAGTTTTAGGTTGCATAAACATCACTGAGCCATACTGTGCATAGCATTTCCTTGGGCAACAGATTTTAAGGACTGCGCTACACAATTTTCTCCCTACAAACTGACTTAAAAAACCAAACCCATAAACAAGATGCAGCCCTACTACAGTCCGAGTATAGTTTTAGCCATGAATTTGGATGAAAATCTTCCCTGAAAAATATAAATGAAAATATATTCCACATCAACTGCAGCAGGAGTTCTGTCCTGAGCCTGCAGATATATGTAATGGCATCTGCAAGTCCTCTGAAAGCATGTGTGATGTTCTATGTGTGTGTATGTATGTGTATACACACACACACACACACACACACAC